TTACTTGTGTTTAACACTGAGAGAGATTTGTAGCTGTGTTTAAGAGGGTCTCTGCGTATTTGACTGGAATCAAGTTAGATAAAGGCTATGAAATATAAAGCATAGACTCACTCCAGATCTCAGGTAATTCATATAAAAATAAACATTTCAGCTAGCTTTTTAACAGAGACTTTGTATGGAACTTGTATCATGAAAATCTTGGTTACATCTTTGTCATATAAAATGCCAGATAGAGCATATTTGTCAGTTTGGGTGTAAAGTCCTTACCAATGATCTGTAAACATTCATCCCATGGTGATAACTGATTAAACAAATTTTCCTTGAAAACAGAGCAGTACTCTGCCTGGCTGGTGGCCTTTGCCCTCCCACAATCCAGGGGAGGTTCATTTATTCACTGTTTATTTTTCAATACACATTTAGCCAAGTCCCATATTAGAAGCAGGGTAGTAGACTAGATTGTTTTTCTTTCAATTAAATTTTAAATATATTCTTATTTTTTCTTTAAAATATGAAAAATTATCATTTAGAGAAGGAAGGAACGAACAAATGAACAAATGAACAAATGAAGGGAAGAAGGGAGGGAGGGAGGGAAGAAGAGAGGGAGATTCCTTACATGTAAGAATCCTGTAAGATATAAAACCCTGAATCTTTGTAGATTCCTTGGAACTTCCCTAGCACCCGGTTTCTCTCTATCCCCATGATGTCTCCCTCTATCATGGTATCTCTTTCATTGCTTTCCCACTCCGTCCCTGTCCCAGATCAACCATCTGGTTCCCTTATGTTCTCATCACCCCATCCCCTAACCTCCATTGCCCACCCCTCACCCCCAGTTTACTCATGGAGATCTCATCTGTTTCCCCTTCCCAGGGTGATCCATGTGTCTCTCTTAGGGTCCTCCCTGTTAACTAGCTTCTCTGGAGCTGTGGGTTGTAGCCTGGTTATCCTTTGCTTTACATCTAGTATCCACTTATAAATGAGTACACACCATGTTTGTCCTTCTGAATCTGGGTTACCTCACTCAGGATGATGTTTTCTAGTTCCATCTATTTGCTTGCAAATTTCATGATGTCATTGTTTTATACTGCTGAGTAGTGACCAGGATCCATTCCTGGTGCATGAGCTGGCTTTTTGGAGCCCACTACCTACAGAGGGACCTTGAACAGCCTTGATGCAGGGGGAGGGCATTGGACCTGCCTCAATTGAATATACCAGACTCTGCTGACTCCCCGTGGGAGGCCTTACTGTGTTGGAGGAAGGAATAGGGGATAGGTTTTGGGAGGGTGGCTGGGGGGGGGGAGCGGAGAGGGGGATCTGTGGTTGCTATGTAAAATGAATAAAAAAATTTCTTAATTAAAAAAATAAAGTGATAATAGTCACATGTGATGAAAAGAATAAGAAAAACAAAACAACAACAAAAAACCCTAAATCTCCTCACCCTTTTTCCTGCCAAAAATTTAATTATTAGAAATTGTTTCAAAAACCAAAAGAGTTTGTTACTAATGTCAAATTTCCTATCAACATTCACCTTTTTGTATATTAATTTGTATAACTTTGTGAATTTATAAAATTCACCCCATCCTCTATGATATATATGATGTATTTTATGTATATTTACACTTTTTCAGTTTACTGTGGCTATTTTTACTGTTTTATTTTGCTGTATATATGTATTTGATTTTGATGTAGTCAATTTGTTCATCCTTAATGACTTTTCATATCTTGTTGAGAAAACTTTCTCTACTCAGAGACTTAGCCCACATTCATGTGTTATATTCTAAAATGTGAATGTTTTTATTCTTCCTATAGAAATATTTGATTCCCTGCCAGGAAGAAGGAAAGGCCAATGATTTCCCATCATGGGAGGATACGTGTCTGAAACAAGCAGCTGGGATCTACTCATATCTCAGCTCTCCATCTGCTATGACACCTGTGTGACATTAGTTGAGGACTATGCTGGTTATAGTTTACTTGCATTCCTGGGAAGGGAATCAAGGTGATAATAAGAACATCTGTCTTGAAGGCTTGTAAACAGGAAACCACCACTCATGAAGTAGTTAGAAGGAAATAAAAATTATATATTTTTTAACCGTCTTGATAAGTATATATGTGTGTGCATGCACACTTGTATGTATAGGTAAGTGTGGATTTTCATATACAAATATGTAGGGGTACATGTGAACATGCGGCTGGAATCTGCCTTGTGTTTTGAGATAACATCTCTTAGTGGGATCTTAGTGGGGTTTGGTGATCACTAGGTTGGCTAGACAATGTAAAGGGAATCTAGCCAGCTTGAGCATGGCAAACATGGCTCTGACAGGCCTTGCCCTTCTCTCCCCTTCCTTCTGCCTTGTTTAAAAACATTAGATTGTATTCCTAAAGCTAGCTACCGAGGTTCATTTCCTCCTGAGGCTGACTACCAAGGTTGGGCTATCAAAGTATTGAAGTCCAGCAATCAAAAGCCCCCTTTGGCTCACCTTATTAATATGTCCAGTTAGAATTAAACACCTCATCTTAACGTGGAGTTTCTCCTTTTACTTTTATAAACCACCATTTTCTTATGGGCAATGTTGGTCTCCTCTCTGTGCAGAGGCAGTCCTTTGTCCCCCTCTCCCTTGTTCCCTTCCCCTCCTTCTCCCTAGTCCTCTATTCCCTGACCTTTCCCCATCTGGAGCAAATAAATCTCCTTTGTGCTTAGAACTTGGTCTTGGGGTGTCCTGAGCCGATCCCTGGTCCTAACACAATATGACCCTGGAATCCTTCTATGTCCATCTCCCCAGTCCTATGATTACATGTATGACTGCCATGCCATGGGGTTTTTTTTTGTTTGTTTGTTTGTTGTTTGTTTTTGTTTTTTTTTTTTTGTTTTTTGAGACATGATTTCTCTGTGTAGCTTTGGAGCCTGTCCTGGAACTCACTTTGTAGCCCAGGTTGGTCTGGAACTCACAGAGATCCGCCTGCCTCTGCTTCCCGAGTGCTTGGATTAAAGGCGTGCGCCTCCACCACCCGGCTCCATGCCGTGTTTCTTATGTGGGTGGAGGCAATCCACCTCAGGCCCTCACGTCTGCACAGCAAACACTTTGTATGTGAGCCATCTCCTTGGATACTGTATCCTTTAAATTTTGCTTATGCCATTTTTATGTTTATATTTTCATATGGATTTTGATAGCCCATTTAGCATTTTTTAAAATTTAAAACTAGTCATTGTACATGCTTATGGGGTAGATTCTGATCCTTCAGTACAGTATCACAATGATGAACTCAGGTTGTTAGGCTACTCATGACCTCAAACATACTGTTTCTTTGTGATGGAAACATTCAAAATCTTCCATTGTAATTATTTTGAATTATACTCTAAAATAGTCTTTTTGAGTATCAGGAAAGTATCCATTATTGTTTTAATTCAACTAATATTTATTGAAACTTTTACAAATGATCTTACACTGTTAGTACTTCTAATGTTAAAGCATACTTTTCTGATTTCGTAATAGTTTAGAATTTTCTTCAATATCGTTTTCTAAATATGTACTTTATTTGTACTTGTGATTCTTTTGTTTACTTTTGGCAGATGTAGAAAATCTCTTCTCTTTGCTATCTTTTTAAAAATTAAAATTTAATCACACCCCCTCCCATTCTTTTTTTCCCTCCAAACTCTCCCATTCTGTCATTACCTCCTCTCAAATTCATAGCCTTCCTTTCTTTGATAATTATTGTTGCTCATGTCTACACACAGAGATATATACTCACTGAGTCAATCTAGTGTTGCTTGTCTGTACATTTTTTTATCATGACAAAGCAGTTAATTTTTATTGAATTAAAAACATTCTCTTTCATAGTTAAAAATAATGCCAACCTATTTAACATTGTTTATGTGTTGATATCATTATTTATGTGTTGATATCACTTAAGAATTCCAAAGAAATATTAGGAGAAGGTATTAAAAAATGGACACTGCCCACTGATGAGACTCCCAGTCTCTAAGGTGAGGTCTCCAAACCCTGGAAACACCTAGTTTCTCTGAACAACAATAACAACAGAAAACTGTGAACCTGGGGCTCTGAACCACAACTGGGGATGTGCATGCTTAGAGCAACAGCCTGTGTTTGAGGGCTCTGTGAACAGCCCTGCGGCCAGGAAACCTGAAGCCAGATGTACGTTTTTTGCACAAAGCCTCAATCCATATGAGGTACTTCAATGAACCACCAAAAAGGGGAAGGAAGCTGGTACCAGCATGACCCAGGTTATGTCTTACAGCTTTGACTCAGTATTACAGTTTTGAGTTCATTCATTTACCAGTTACACGGTGGTGGTAGTGCCTTATGTTATTTATTTAGCTTGTTAGTTATTTCGGGGATGGGGGTGGTTTGAGACAGTGTCCCTCTAATGTTAGTATTGGCTGTCCTAGAACTCACTATGTAGACCAGGCTATTGTGAAACTCACAGAGATCCATCTGCTTCTGCCTCTCTAATGCTGGGAGCAAAGCTCCTGTTAATCTAACCAGAACCTTTGTACCAGAGAGAAAGCATGGTCCTTCATCTCCTACTCCTCCCGTGTCATCTCTGTGAATGTTCAGTTCTGACTAAGCCAATCTTTCTCTGGACACCTTGACCATCTTACACATAGGGCACCTTCCATGTCCACTGCCGTTCCATCAGCGAGCATTTGAGAACTGAGTTATTCCAATCATTTTCTTGCTAGAGGGTTTAATCCTATGCTGTATCTGCACCATGTGGTAGAAATGAATTGTGCAACTTGCACAATACAAACATTATCCAAACAAAATTCCAAAAATTACTTTATGTAGAAATGAGAAAAAGGAAGACATATAAGGAAGAAAGATGTTTCCTCTTTTGATTCTTATCTGTTCTTGTCTGAGGCTACAGACAGTCTGTGGCTCTTGGGCACATATTTGAGAGACTGACGCAATGGGTTTCTAAAAAGAACTGCTATCTTGTGAGACTAGCTTCAGTTTACACACAGAAGTTTTAAAATTCCAGATAGACTCATTCAGCTTTTCGCCCTCTCTCACCTTTTTCAAAGGACAGTTTGTGGAGCTTTCTTTGATTATTCATCAATGTCTGAAGAAACTGTTTATGCAAATCTCAAATTCCAGGACTCTGATAAGAAAGAAAATACCCAGAAGTCTAAAAGATGTGGGAGAAAAGGTAAGATTTTGAGCCATGGATGTAATGTAAGGCTGTGGCAGTGGCTACAGCCTTACACTTCAAATACAGTAATTATTCAGTGCAAATTTTTAATTAAGCCTTTTATTTAAATCCAAAGTACAAAAGTGATTATAAAAATTTTTTTCTTTAAGGCATAAATCACTGCAATAAAACACTCTGTATTTTACATTACAATTTTTTTAAAGTACTAAAAATTGGTACATGGAACAGGATGCTTTTTTTTTTTTTTGGTTTGTCGAGACAGGGTTTCTCTGTGTAGCTTTGCACCTTTCCTGGAACTCACTCTGTAGCCCAGGCTGGCCTCGAACTCACAAAGATCTACCAGCCTCTGCTTCTCAAGTGCTGGGATTAAAGGCATGCACCACCACTGCCCAGCATGGATGGTATTTTCAAATGTAGGGGTTTTTTTTTTGTTTGTTTTCAAGACAGGGTTTTTCTATGTAGAAATGCTGGTGTTTTATTATGAAGGGTCTATTTATTTTTGTTGTTGATGTTGCTGTTGTTGGTGTGTGTGTGTGTGTGTGTTCATTATATGAAGTCATGGAACTAGGACTATACATTGTGCAGGAACGTAATGGACTTACATGTTCTTCTTTTTATGGTTTTGAAAAGTAAAATGCTTACAGAGTAGGAGAAAGAGAAAGAGAGAACACTTTGTGCACTCGTGTATGTGTGTGTGTGTGTGTGTGTGTGTGTGTCCAGAAAGAGTACTTATTACCCAGCTTCTTTCCTCATTGTTCATGGAGCTAGTTCTGGTCCAAGTCTCTTGGGGTTTCCTTGTGTTATCCTAGCATTCAGATCTCTATTCTTCATTTTAAATTTAGATTAAATTTAATGTGTGTGTGTGTGTGTGTGTGTGTGTGTGTGTGTGTGTGTGTGCATGCGTGCATGTATACGTGTGCTTAGGTATGTGTGTTTGCACTGACCACAGTGCATGTGTGGAGGCCCCAGGACGTCCTGGGGACTCAGTCCTCTCCTTCCACTGTGTGAACCACCAGGGATTTAGCTTAGGTTGTCAGGCTTGCACAGCAAGTGCCTTTACCCCCTGGGCTGTCTCATGGCTTCCTGTCTCTGTTCTTTCCCTGCTGTCCTTTCCTACTGTCCTCATGACGCCGAACAGCCTCTTCTAAAATTACTTTCTCTGCTAGGCATGAGGGAGCTGTTCTCTAACCTCAGCTACTAAAGAGGCTGAGGCAGGAGGGTTACAAGTTCAAGACCTGAGTTCAGAGTCAACCTGGGCAGTTAGTTTAGTGAGATCCTGTCTCAAAATGAGAAGTAAAAAGAGAGTTGAGTATATAGGTTTGTGCTAGAGCTCTTGCTGAGCATGTGTGAGGCTCTACTTTCAACACAACGTGACACAACATGACACAACACACCACAACCTAAGTGAAATTCCTTCCCACTGGGCATTCTCCATGACACATCCTCTCACTCCCACTGTTCCTGTGTTTGAACTGGTTGCTTGTCCTGACTTCTTGCTTACACTCTTTGATGGTTCACTCAAGGGCACTTTACAGCTCTCCTTCTCCTCTAAGTCACCCCCTGCCTTTCAGCCTCCAGTACCATGGCCTCCAAGTATCCCCTTAGGACCTCCCCCAGTCGTCTAAAGGAAACTCAGTGTCTGTCCCATTCTTGCACAGGCTTCACTATTTTAAACTCCCCTTGAACAACTCTTCTCATACAGGACAACCTATCTTTAGCTACTCTCAACGTATTCTGTTCTTCAAATAAAAAAAAAAAAATCTCCCCTAAATTATGGTTTTTGGGATGGGTGCTCTTACTGTCACGTTCTTCACAATACTTCTGCACAGTTCTTCCCGTATCCGTGACATCTGAACCACATACTTTCTAAAATATGAGTTCCAAATGTCTATCTATCATCCATCTATCTATCTATCTATCTATCTATCTATCTATCTATCTATCTATCTATCTATCTATCTATCTATCTATTTATCTATCTGTTTGTCTGTCTATCTATCTATCTATCTATCTATCTATCTATCTATCTATCTATCTATCTATCTATCTATCTATCTATCTATCTATCTTCTATCTATTTTCCTGTCTATCATTTCTTTATCAATCATTTAGCTGTTTGTTTCCTGTCACTTTAAAATGCATCTACATGACAACATAAACATGCACACCTTACTACTTTGTTTTATTAACAGCCACAACAGTGTCTAGTATCTAAATCTGATAACTTTTAAATAATTGAATACATACAAAAAAATGAGAAAATAATTTTGATGAAAGATAGCCTATGACTTTGTATTTTAAACTTCAGATAAGGACTGGAACATTTATAGTACTTTCACTAACAATAATATTAAGAAATCGAGTTTTATATTTTATATGTCACTTTTGTGAGAATTTACAACATTGTTATGCTATCAGCTGTTGATATAAGACAAATTTCAGGAACAGAGAAAGAATATTAGGTAATTCTTGAATTACTTTCTTGAGACAGTCTTTACATATATCCATACATAGAGATAATTTAAATCATATAATCCCTTAAAAATAATTCACAATGTAAGTTTTATAACCTTCTAGGAAAATGGTGTAGTCTGTGATTCATTGGTCAGAAAATAATAAAATCTTTCCATTACAATGTTTTGCTGGAAAATCATAGACAATATTGAAAAAGTTGGAATGAGAACTGCAGATCCAGACTAGGTGAGGCGGAGAGCTGACGAGGGATGCTGGGACAGAGTGATAGCCTGCTTTGCCATTCTGCAGCTCCATTCTTGGCATTCCAGAGGAGTGCATTAACAACTGGAACTGCTTCGTGTCAAGCTTCACCTCTGCATTCCAAGAGACTCCTCAGACTGACTTGGCTTCCCTCAGCCTCCAGACACTCACTTTCCACAAATGTATCCAAGGATACACACACTATCTGTACTCTCCATTCCCTTCCTCCTCTCTATTTTCTAAACTTTATCTTTACTTTTTTATATCTTTCATCAGTCTAGGGGTTAACATCTTTGTCTATGAGATTCCCTTCTCATTCAAAAGAACTTACTGAATGTTTCTTACTTTAAAAAAAAAATCACTGCCTTGATCTTATTGGTAAGAAATTTAAGACATTTCATGAACAAAAAATCTGGAGTGTAACACAGCATAGTCAAAGGCCTCAAAATAAAACCTGATGTCTTACTTATGGTTTCCTATCTGATTATTCTTGAAAATAAGTTAAAGTCTTTTAGTTTTTAGCAAAATACTTTTCATTACAAAATACATAGTAAAAAGAAATGAGGGGAGGATGACTGACTGACTGAATGACTGACTGAATGAATGAATGAATGAAATTAGTGTGAGCTGCTTCTCAAATGCTACACTCTTTTTCTTTTCACAGTACCTTCTTCTCCATCCCATTCACAGCATAACGCAGTCTTGATTCTGACTCTTCTGTGCTTTCTGCTGCTCATTGGACTGGGGGTCTTAGGAGGATTGTGTATGTATCATCCCATTCTTTAAAATGAACATTTAAATTTAATTAAAATACATTTGTATCATTCCCTCCTTTTCCCTCTAATCCCTCTCATGTCCCTGCCTGCTCCTTCTCAAATTCATAGCCTCCTAATCTTTAATTATTATTGTTACATAGTTATATAAATAAACATATAAATGCAACCTGCTGAGTTTGTGTAGTGTTGCATATATATATATATATATATATATATATATATATATATATGTATTTGTAAATGTATGTATCTATATAGGTATTTTCGGGCTGGTTTAGAATGCTATGAGTTGTTGAATCCATGTTTATTCTTGGAATTAAGGCTTTATGCCCCAAAGAGGTTCTTATAACATAGTCCATAGACATACACTCTATCTCCTCAAATAAATCCTATAGAGAGGCCTTTTCCTACCACTTTAATATTTTAATACTATTTCTGAAGAAAAAACTCACCAAATTTCTAAAGGTGATAGAATAACTGAGAATTTATAAGGTTTTTAAAATCATCTACTATTTTTTTTCTTCTCTGTCTTTAAAATAATCCTGGAGTTTATACAACTTTGAAGACAGAAATGATAAAATCAAATCAACTACAAAACATCAAGGAAGAACTTCAGAAAAATGTTTCCCTACAGCTGATGCACAATTTCAACAGCTCCAAGAAAATCAGGAACCTCTCTGCCATGCTGCAAAAGACAGCCATCCAGCTGTGTCGTGAGCTGTATACAAAGGAACCAGGTAACCTTATATTGCTCTCAAAACTATTTCCTGGACAACAAACTAAACCTTAGGGTCCTTTAATAATCACTTCCTTATGGAGCCAATATTAAACGTGGAATTAAATGTGTTCAGTAAATGAGTCATTGATATTTCTTCATAGTTAGGGGAAAAACATGAAAGGAGAAATAATTAGACTGCCAATTTATAAGGTTCTGACACATACTGAAGCATCAGACAGTATACTCAGTTTCTCTGATCTGCAGTTTATTCCCCTTGTTCTGGGCACAAAGCTCAAGAGGTGGTAAGTAGAGAAGGATGCCTCTGTATACATGATCCCATTCCTAAATTTCAGCTAGTGCTGAAGGAGTGAAAAATTCTGGCAAAGAAATGAAGCGATGTATGGACCCCGGGGAAAGGAGTGTTATCTTTCGGTGCTTTTGTAGTTTTTGTGGCTAAACTATGTTCCCGTGCTTCTAAGGTACCTCTTCAACACTCTGGAAGTTGAAAGCCAAAGACACACCTGCTGGAGAAAGCCAGACCAATGTGACTCTATGAGCCTGGTTTTTACTAGACAGCATTTGCTGTGATTAATTTTTAGAGTCATAAGTGAAAAACAAACAAACAAACAAAAAACAAATGAAAACTACCCAGGTTTCCTAATGATGGACAATACGTTTGAATCTGGCCAGGTACTTGAACATTTTTGTTTGCCCAAGTTTTTTGTTATGTTTCTAGGGTGATGTATAGTGATATAGAGGACTTGATTTCTTTCTCATCGACCTAAAGAGAAGAAACACAGCAAATCTTGTCACTGTCACACAGACAGTAGAGAAATAGTGGTCAAGGGTGTTCATACAAACCTGTAACACTCTGCCCTCCTTCCAGAGCACAAATGCAAACCTTGTCCAAAGGGTTCAAAATGGTTCAAGGACAGCTGTTACTCTAAACTTGATGGGTTTGGAACATGGCAAAAGAGTGAAATGCTCTGTTCGGCTCGGAATGCCAGCCTGCTGAAGATTAAGAACAGGAATGAGCTGGTAAGGTTCCATGTCTCTGTTCACTCAGAACAGAATCCCTTCACATCGTGAAATATGGGGTGATGAAGCATGTGCTGGGAAGACACACAGTGACCCATTCATGACTCAGGATTGTTTTTGTTGCCTGGGGAGGGGACTGGGACTTGCACATTTGTCTCAGGGAAATCACCGTCAGGCTAAAACACACACAGCTTTAGCTTAAGCAGAATCTTAGAAGCTGGAAGATAGGCAGGTAGACCAGGGACTCCCAGAATCCTCAGGCTTGTCTGGTTCCAAGTTGGAAGTGTAGGAGCAGGTTTCTGTGTATGCCCTCAGAATAGTTATCACCACCCCATAAAAACCACACAGGAGAATATCTTTATTATCAATATATTGTGTTTTTTATTGACAAGGCAAAAAAGCCAGATTAAGACAGCTAGGGTGATATTTGCTCAATAAGTATATTGGGTTGATAGAGAGGAGGCAATTGTTAAATAGACATATTACACAGAGATTTAGAACCAATGAAAAGTGAATTCTCTGGTTTGTTTATTTATTTGTTTATGTCTAAATCAGTGGTTATAAACCTTCCTAATGCTGGAACCCCTTAATACAATTCCTCAGGTTGTAGGAGTCCCCAACCATAGAATTATTTCTGTTGCTACTTCATAACTGTTATTTTGCTACTATTATGAATTGTAATGTAAATATCTGATTTTTCTGATGCTCTTATGCGACCCCTGTGAAAGAGTCATTCTATCTCCAAAGGGATAATGACGCTCAGGTTGAGAACTGCTGGTCTGAACAATGTCTTTTTGTGTCACTTATTAGTAAATAGTTCTGGTCTCTCACTTAGTAATCCTTTATTATTTTCTTTCTTTCTTTTGAGACAAATCTCACTCAGTAGCCCTGGCTTATCTCAAACTCACAGCAATCCTCCTGCTTCAGCATCCCAAGTGCTGGAATTACCTGTGTGAGCCACTTATCCTAGACTGTAGTCATTTATCTTGGAGTAAAAATATATCCCTTAGCCAGGCGGCAGTGGTGCACACCTTTAATCCCAGCACTCGGGAGGCAGAGCCAGGTGGATCTCCGTGAGTTCGAGACCAGCCTGGTCTACAGAGCGAGATCCAGGACAGGCACCAAAACTACACAGAGAAACTCTGTCTCGAAAAACCAAATCTATATATATTTATCTCCCCTAAATGGCTCAGCTTCTCTACCATAAAAAACTTTGTCATCTTTTATAGGAGAAGGGACTTCGATCGATTATTCTGTTTCATTGACCTTTCTCAAGTAATCATTCATAATTATTTATTATTAAAAAGACAACTGGCTTTAGCAGAAAAACACATGTAACTTTGGGCAAAGCATCCTGTGCTGACTCTGGGCTCTGTAGTTATTGCTGTTGTTCTCTGGCTTTATTGTATTGTTCTCTTTTTCTGTTAAGTCTGGCTTGCAGTCATAAGCCATATCCTTTGCTCAAGACTGAATATTCACTACCTAAATATTTAGATCAGGAAAATTGTTAAGCTTTTCACTGACCCCATATGAAGGTAATTCAATGAATCAGTGGGTCCTTTCATCACCAGTGGGGAAGGCTGAAGAGATCTCAGATACATCAACCCAAGGTTGCCAAGTTCTTGTAGCCATCAAACAAAGAACTCCCACTCAGTGAAAAGTTGAAACATTTTATCAGAAAGCACAAGTAAACCACCAGAAGAGATGTGAGCGTCTCAAAGGAGAGTATCATCCCTGGGAATTCGAAGGGCTTGTCTTATGAGAAGTTTTACTGGGAGAAAAGAGACGTTCCTGGGTGTAGGAGGGGAGATTCTGGAATGAACTAGGATTGACCGGGATTGACCCTTTCTGTTCTTACACAGGTGGGGTTGGGTCTGTTGTGATACTAGATGCATGATGGGAGCGGCACTTTATGCAAGCCGCATCAGACCATAACAGGGAAGCAAAGGACTGTTTCAGTTACCAGGGTCAGCAGCCACGGTCCTGACTAGCTTGGGATGGTGCTGGTTTTTACTGTTTGAGCAGATGCAGGATGTCCTGCCATAACACAGCTCTGTGATTGCATCAGCCTCCAGGCACCGAGGTTTCCTTCTCATTTTTCCCTGTCTACACAGCAGGCCCACTTTGAGGAAACTGTGCTGTAAAAATGCTGACATCCTAAAAAGCCCTTTGAATTTCGTTTAAATAACATTGAGAAGTGGTAATGCTACACCAAAACTATAATGTTAAAACAGAAGTCTGCACTATGGGATCCTGTGAGGTAGTATACAGACTTAAGAAACAGCTGGACGGTAGTGGCGCACGCCTTTAATCCCAGCCCTCGGGAGGCAGAGCCAGGCGGATCACAGAGACCCATCCGGATCTCTGTGAGTTCAAGGCCAGCCTGGTCTTCAAAGCGAGTTCCAGGAAAGGCACAAAGCTACACAGAGAAACCCTGCCTCGAAAGAAAAAAAAGAAAAGAAAAGAAAAGAAACCGCGTATTAAACAGGCCTTCTCTGTTTCTTTAGGAATTTGTAAAGTCCGAGGGGTTAAATGGTTATTGGCTGGGGCTGTCGCCCAGAAAGAATTACATAAGATCCGAAATACTGAATGAGAACATGTTCCTCTCTGTTGGGTAAGTCTCTGTTCTTGCTGGATTTTTATGGTTACATGTGAGTGGGCACATTTCTTCAATTGCTTGGCAGAGAGCCTTTTAAAGCAGCATAAGCTGACACCACATCTTTAAAGGCAACTGCCCTCCAGGCTTCTGTGATGTATTTGAATATTTAGAAAATTGCCATACATGTCTTGTCATTAGTTTGGTAAGTCTCCAATAACCTACAGTAATCAAATTATGAAATTTTTTTGTGTAATTAATGCTTATAGTTAAGATCGCAGAAGCTGAAACCATTCACTAGACACCTTTAAGTACTTAATATTGTTCCATATTCTGGAATTCAAAGATGAGTGAATGGAAGGTTGACAGAGCTCTAAATTACTTACTCTTAGGCTGTAAGTATATGTTTGTGTTGAGGGTGCATGTGCATGTGTCTTTATGTGTATGTGTGTGGTGTACATGTATAAGATGAATTGCTAAACTATCTTATTAATAAAAAAAAAAACCCAGAGCCAGATACTGGGGTAAAATCTGAGAGATCAGAAAAGCAGAAAGAAGCCAGCCATGTTCTTACCACTTGGAAATCCTCAGCCAAAGAGAGAGCTGCTTCCTGTATACCCAGGCCTATATGCCTTTCTGTTCTGCATTTCACTTCCTCTCTCTGCCCAGCTACATCACTTCCTCTCTGTCTGTACAGACCTCCAGACCTCTGTGGTTAGTGCTGGGACTAAAGGGGTGTGTTACCATGCCTGGCTCTGTTCCCAGTGTGGCCTCGAACTCACAGAGATCTGGATGGGTCTCTGCCTCTCTAATGCTAGGATTAAAGGCATGTGTGCTACCACTGCCTGACTTTTATGTTTATTATAGTGGCTGGCTTTTTCCTCTGATCCTCAGATAAGCTTTATTAGGGTGCACAGTATATTGGGGGACACAATGTATTACTACATACATGTGTGTATGGTGCATGTGTGTATGTGTGTGTGTGCTGTGTGTGAGAGAGATGTGTGTGTATGTGTATGAATGTGTGTGTGTGTTCAGTGGAAATCAGAGTGGTTATTGCCCTTCTCTGACTCTGTTACATTGTTCTCTTTTTCTGTTAAGTCTGGCTTATAGTCATTAACTGCCTCCTTTGCCCCAGACTGAATATTCTCTGAAAATTCTCTGAATAACTTTGGTGTTATTTTTCAGGTGATCTCCACGTTTTGTTTTTGAGGCAGAAACTCTCAGTGGTCTAGAACTCCCCCAGTGTAGTCTAGGTTGCCAGAGATCCCTGGGGGTCCTCATATTCTCCTTCTTTTTAAAAAGCATCTCTTTTAGAGTGTGATTAGATCTTTCAATAATTGCCTGTCTTGTAGGATTATACAGTATCCCTGTAATGTGTTTTATGTTATAATGTACAAAAAAAAAAAGTTTCATTTTATTGGGAACATAAAAGCAGGGCCATTATCAGTTTTAATTTGCAGTTGTTGGTGTGCCCATTATAGCCATTGCCTCTAACAAATGTCTAATTACAGAATCAGCCTTTTCAGAACTGAAGGCGGATGACCACTGAAATCCAGAGAATAGATCAATGGTATAATGAGTCTATTTAAATTTTCAAATTCTATTAAATGAAATACATTCATTTGCAGTAAAAATAAATATTTGCAATTTATTTTTGTGTCTGTGTACTTTTAGGGTTACTTCCTGCAGGTAAAGGAACTTGATTATGCAAAGAACAAGTAGGACAGGTTTTTGGTTTTTTTTTTTTTTATAATTTTCTTAGCTTGTTGACAAGTAATGGAAAATTTTTTTTTCCGTTAGCCTTTACTATTAACATGATGTTTCTTATGAAATTCTGAAGCTTTTAACACACTTCCTATCAGTAATTATATTATCAGTCAATAATTATATTAAGAGATTCTTTAATGTGTAAACCATTAAAATGACATAAATCTCTGATTTTTAAACCGAATCTTATGGACTTTGAATTACTTTACTTATGTTTCCTGCTTTATAACGAACCATTTCTAATTTGTTTACGTCAGTATAAAATGTAAGAGACTCAGAAATAGGTGCTTTTTCCACTATGCAGGGAAGAATTTGTTCAGTTTTTTTATAAATTGATGTCACTTACTTTTAGGATATTTGTTGTTAATTTCTGCTAAGAAATTGCTACAAGTTTTTGCCAGTCATCATTAATTACCCACAATTGCATAATTTCAGCATTAATATAGGGTACTACAATCTCAGCTGGATCCATTCCTGACAATTGATGAAGTCTTATTCTTCCTTTTATAATTAATTCAGAAACCTTTTCTATAAAGGTTTTTAACTTTTTACTTTGTTTGTGAGATAGTTAAATTCATTCTATAGTATTATCCTCCCTTTTCGTAATGAGTCCAGTAGGGGAATGGGCAGGAGGTAATATAACTAAAATACATCCAGTTGTGAGAGCCAATTGATTCCCATAGGCGTTTTGTAAATTTTGTTCTACTTGGGCAAATTCCTTTTCTGCTTCAGTTGTTAATTCTCTTGGACTATTTAA